TTAATTTTCATCAATATAGAATTAACTCTTCAAAAATCGTTCCTTTTTTATTAAAAAAAAGAAGAGAAAAAGTTTTGATTTTTCTAGTAGCTTACTCTATTAATACATTTCAAAATGCTGACTATGTTTCCCCCAACAAGATGACATCATAGTTTAACACTCGAAATACTGTCTGTATGACCTTCTCATTTTTTGTTGTTCAGTAATGTCAAAATTAATCAACATAAAGCCGTGATATTTTCTGACCTGTCATAGCGTGATTTTATTTAGGTGCTTATTTAATCATTTTGGTTTTATCTTTATGGGAGAAATATTTTGTGGAGAAAATTATTGTATCTTGAAATTGCTGTAATACGTCTTTATAGTACTAAATTATAATTTTAGTTTCATCTGCTAAAAAATTTATCAATTTTGTGAAAATAGGAAGGAAAAAAAAGAAATTGAAGTCTTATGAAGAGTACCGTGCTCCTAGTATGTAATCAAAGAAATGTAGCTGAAGCAATAGAACCAAAGTGGATCAATGTATATACAGACATTGCAAAACTCCCAAAAAACAAATAAATAACTTCAAACATTTAAAGGCAATTAATTATACATCTTACACACAAGCGACACCTCATGGAAGCGAAAAAGCCTTCGCATGAGTTACCATAAACGAGAAATCCGATCCTTTGCAGTCCGAATATCGTAACATCTTACTTATTTTTCTCCAAGATGCAGTTTAGTAGTCAGAGCGTTGAGTCATCGTTCTAATTATCCCTTCACTGCGAGTTAGTGCTCGTAATGTGCTAAATTGATTTGTGCGGAAGGCTTCTCTTTTCTAGAAAGTGCCGACAAAAGCCCATCATTGCCCCAAATGTGTTTCGAAAAATTGCTGCGTATTTATTCTTATAAAAAAATTTTAAAAAAATATAAAAAGTGTTCTCGATTTTCAGTCTTTATATAAAAAATACTTTTTCAGTTTATTTGTTTTTAAATCTATAACTATTATCATTTATAAAATGCAGAAACTAAATTATTTGAGCAAAGAAAAAAATGAGCTTAGTAAAAAAAAATAATTTTCTTAAACATTTATTTAGACATTTTTGTTATCCAAATAACAAAAAAAAATGTCCCAGGATTTTCTAATCAACAAGTTTCTAATATATCTTTAATAAATTATTTTTCTGTCATATTTTTAGATACCGGATATATATTTAAATCAAACGTTCAAAAACTCCAATAGTGCCCTTCGATTTCCTAAGTATGCAACAATTCTTTCTAGTGTTTAAATTAAAGTTTTTTTTCAAACTTAGATTTTTTATTACTCTAATTAGCGAAGAACTTCTTACAAAAAACCTTTAAGTAGCTAAAAACTATCTACAAAAAAAGGAGGACTATATTTATATAAATATATTTTGCAATACAACTAAACTGATCTTAAGTAAATAATTACACAAAATCGTGTTTGAATTTTACTTTTCGTTGATGAATTAATTTTTAAAAAAAAATGAACATGTATTGAGTTAATTGAATAAAGCTATGGTTGATTTTTTCAAAGTACTTTAAAGGTTTGATTCGCTTTCATATTCATATTTTAAAGCCGTTTTAACCAAGACTGCCTGGTATGTAGGGCGTTGGACCCATGGCCATGAGGTCGTGATTTTAATCCTCCTCAGTCGAAGTCTAAGGTGAAGAAACTGGTGACTGGTGCATTTTAAATCTGCCGATCACAAAGTCCTCCAAGTTTCTATAACAAATTAATACCTCTAGGGGTACTAATTTGGGGATTGATCGGTTTGTGGTTCAGGTCAAAACTACGATCTGTGAATAAATAAATGCGTATGAATGGGTCCGCCCTCTAGGCTCTGACGTGTATGAATGGGTCCGCCGTCAGGCTCTGACGTGTATGTGTCTGAAGTCGTATTTTTGGCTACAGATGGGGCACTGAAAGCAGGAAACGCACCATCTGCCTTAACTTAACTTGATTTCACTAAGCAGGGCCTGCTGATATTGGTAAATGGCATTAGAAACGAAAACAACAACTATAATAATAATTCAATATACTACATGACGCATACATTTTAACGTAATGTTTATATTTTCGTGATTTTAATTAGGATAAAAGAAAATATAAATGATTTAAACTTGAAAACTTTTCTCTCTTTGTAAATAATTTGTATATCATCTTTAAAAAGCTGAAAATGAAACAGCAATATTTTCTAAGTAAAAAACAATAAAAAATTATAAAGTGCAATGCACTTTTACAATTCGAAACAACACTATAATATAAAAAAATAATGATCAAATGCATGATAAGCAATAAAAAAATAACGTATGTGCAATTAGAATAATAAAAACAAATTTTCGCTACAGTTTAAAATATTTAGCATTTTCAATAAAAATGTATGTTTTGAAATGCCGGAGTAATATTACATATTAAAATATGGATTATGATTGTGTTCTCATCTGTGCAATTATATAAAGAAATGGGTCGCTTTTTCCTCCCTATTTCATGTCATTGATTTTATTATTACTTGCAGCTAATCAAGCATTTTTCTTAAATTTAAAAAATATATTTTTTTTTATCGAAAAACGCATTTCCATTTAAAATATTAGTCATCATAATCTGCTTGTTTTGAAGTCAAAATTTACCCTCGATGACACAAAATAGAAAAAATAAACTGCAATTTTTATAATTTGAAAATCAGAGATGTTTTCGCATTCTATGAAAAATGAGGTTTTATTTGTTTTTATGTACTTTTTGAAACAAGTTAATAATGTTCGCTTTGAATGTAAAATATATTGTCATTTTCTTCTTAAATTATCCCACAAATTTGAATTCTCCCTTTTTAAATGAAAACTGAACATTTCATTTTAGAAAAAAAGGTCTTAAGATGTTATTTTTCCTATTTACGTTGAGGTACTACACTTTATTGAAACGCATCCTTGAATAATTTTAAAAATTGCGAAATTATAAAATTCTGTCTTTTAAAATACGGAACTAGTTAGGTATTTATCCGTGTGCAATTCTAAGTTGTTTAAAGATTTAATATCATTTCTAAAAATGCACTAAGAAATCGAATTAGAGCATAAACAATGGAATGTCACTTTTAGGAATAAGAAATAAACCATCAACATTTATTCTATTCAGCGTAACTGCGAATTTAATGGAAAAAGTGATTGCTTACTTGCATTATTATTTTATTTCACTTGTTTCATTGCAAAGTAAAAAATCCAATTTGTTTTAAAAGAGACATTTTTATTTTCTCGTTAAATAATTATATTAAACTTCAATTACTTTGTTTTAATAAGCTTTTTATTAATAATCATTATCAAATATATTTGATTTCATTGAAAAGATAAATATCAGCGCAAATAATGCTAAAAAATAGTTTGTCCACCGTAAGTTTGTCCACCGACTTTCGAGGTATCATTGTCATGTGGAATTGCCAAAAGCGACTATACTTTTCTCAGTTTATCATAAATCCATACTTGCCAACTCTTCCGGTTTTCCCGGAAGGTTTTATTTTTATTTATTTCCTTTTTATTTTGTGGTGGCAAAATCTGTAGAATCACAATTTACCCCTCGTTTAATAAATACGGTTTGAAATGATTTTAACTACCGTTACATTTGAATAATTTTAACATGTATATGATCAGCTTGCTAGTTCTCTGATAATGTTTTTAATTGTTTGCTAAATTCTTGCGAAGCACCTACACACAATATCAATTTCATTGGTTTTACCCTACCACAAGAAAACACCTCTTTGAGAAGCGTTAAAATTGGCAGGTATAAAAAATTTTAACATTGTTTTTCAAAGCTTTTTCGCCAAGGAAAATAAAGATCCTCATATACATTAGATCTAATATATACAATTCTCTTACGTGACTCCCAAATTTTGGCTGTATTTCTTTTCCGCCGGTGGCAACGCTTGCTTTGTTTTGTTTACGTTACTATTTCTCTTACACGGCGACAAAAAAAGCTCATTACAACTTCCCGAATGGCAACGCTAGAAAATCGACGAAATGATTGCCGCTAAAAATGTCACATGCCAAATCTAGTTGAGGTGGCTCAACATATAGCGCTTTTAAAAACGGAAACTGAAACAACCAGAGAGCATCAGCTGCGGCAATCTCATACTATTAAGCTAGGCAGAAGTGAGTAGTCTTTGTCGATAGATCTCTATTTTAGTATTTTGTCGAAAGCGCTTTTTTTCACGAATTTATAAATTACGAATTTATTTGACGATGTTTGATTTATATCACGAATTATACTATAGCACATTTCTAATAGGTTTAACGAATTACATGTCATTTATTTGAATTCAAATTTATTTTAATGACTTAATATTTACTAAAAAGATGCTATATGTAAAGAATGCTAGAGCGGCAGAAAGATCACACGTCTCCCTTGCATCAAAATAGGATTAAATGGAAACATTAAGAATTATAAAACCGTGAAATATCTAGGTGTCACTTTGGACCCCTGTTTGACCTGGCTTCCGCATCTGGAGGATACAAAAGAGCGTATCACCGTTTTTAACCACAACATGAGTGCCTACGTAAGAAGGAACTGGGGTTTAAAACCCAGAGTACTGAAACGTATCTACCTCCCGTCCAGTGAAAGAATAATTACTTATGCCGCCAGTGTATGGTTCAACAAGGGGGTCAAGATGAGAGAAAAACTAGCATCAATCCAAAGGATCCCGCTGCTAACAATAACTAGAGCCTATAATACAACTAGCACCGAAGCCCTGCAAATACTTTCGGGAATCAAACCCATTCATTATAAAATAATTGACGAAATTTATTATAAAAGATTAAAATGGGGATGGCATTTAGACGACCTAAATTTGGTTAGCACTAATTTAACACATGCCCAATACCTGGAGTCTCTGCCACCCCTCAAGCACCCAGCTACTTCTCTCGCTGTACCCTGGAGCAAAGGAAAACCGGATAACAATAACATCGAAATCTACACAGATGGATCAAAAATTGATGATAATGGTAGCGAACCAATGCAGAGTAAAGTAGGATACGCAATCGTCGTGAAGCAAAATGGACTTACAATCGATCTAATCTCCAATAGATTAAACGATGAAGCAAGTATTTATCTGGCGGAGCTGGAGGCTATTAAACAAGCTGTTATTTACATCAAAAACAAAAATTACAAAGATGCGAAAATTTATACTGATTCGCTGTCCTCGTTACAAAGTCTAAATGACCCAAGAAATCGAAATAAGATTATTGAAGAGATCAAAGTAAATATAACACCAAGTATTAAACTTTACTGGGTCAAAGCACACATTGGAATTGAAGGTAACGAGGAGGCGGATCAGCAAGCCAAAATGGCCACGAGCTTCAGCCGGGTGGGAACGATGCTCCCAGTGGAAAGAACATTCATTATTAGATACATCAAGCAAGCCACAATGAATAAATGGAAAATAGATTGGAGTGAATCAACAAAGGGCAGGCAGACATATAATTTCTTTAAAGATTCCACACTAACTCGCCTGCAGTCAAACTTCTATTTAAACCAACTCTTAACGGGCCACGGGGTTTTCGGAATATATCAGCAGAAATTCTTCAATAAACGTGCAAATTGTAAATTTTCTGGCAAAGTACAGGACATTGACCATCTTATAAAATTTTGTCCCAAATTCCAGACGATCCGTGGCAGAAAAGGGGATCAATACACTCAACATCAACTTGATGCTGATATTGACTGCAGGGAGAAAATCATCGAAATTCTTAAATATACCCTGGATGATCTGCTTGCCCCTGCGAGTACACCTGACTAATTTTATCTGGTTTTATTTTTAAACTTTCGGCTTTTAGGTTTTCTGGTTTTAAATTTCTGCTTTTAGTATTTTACTTCGGCACTTGCCGCACTTGACACTTTTATTGTCGGTTGATTTTATCCGCTTTGATGTTTTAAGCACTTTTAATTTTTATTCTGTTTTATTTTTATTTTACTTTTTCGATTTTGGGATTTTTCCTATGTGTTTTAATCTTCTTAATTTTGTACTTTTACTTTTCTGTAGTTTAGTAGTGTTTAGACAGGTACAAACGGGTGAAACCCTTATCCGCAAACTCCTTCGGGGGTAGGTCGGTTACTATTGGTCTTACTAAAAAGATGTAAATTTTTTTAAAAAAAAAGTTTTTATATGGATTTGAATGATTGTTTTGAATTCTTAGAATTTTGTGCATTTGCAACGCACCTAAGTTAGTAGCGAGCGAAGCGAGCTTGCTTTGAGAAGCAAACCATATAAGATTGCGTAGCAATTTTCGGGAGATGGCGAGCGTCAGCGAGCAGGGGTCGCAGCCCACTAGTTATTACAAGAAAGTAGATAACTAACACCTTTTTTCAAAATTGTAACTTCCCTTTATTTTGACGTTTTGTGCTCTATTTTCGGAATTAGAGGGCATTGATTAAAGATAGACTTGACCATGCAGGTCATAACTGACAGTTAAAAACTCATTCTTTCGTGAGAATATGCTATTTTTATCACAACAGTTATAAAAATAACATTTTATTCTCAGAACTGCGTTTTTTCATGTGAGAAGAAAAAACCACCTTAAACGTTTTTCTACGCACACTCTTGTTTAACTAATAAACTTTTATCATGATTTGATCTCCATTCTCCTTTTTACTGTGGGCTAATAATTCTCAGGGAACTGGATATTTTATTTTTAAATTTTTAGACATGGAAAAGTTTGATGCGGTAAATACACGAGATATATTTTACTCAAGTAGTATATCATACCAATAAAAACAAATAGCTCTAAAAAACTTATTGGGGAATGTGTGTTTTCTAATGCTGCCATAAAATATGCAGAGGTTGAAAGTCAAGACAGTTGAGGTATAACGTCAAAACAGTTGAAGCCGAAACTACTTTTTTAGGAATATTTCAATATTGAAAGCACAATGATTAAATATTAAATTTTCCTGAACTCTTTTTTTTTAATGAGAAAAACAAGTTTTTACACTATATTCAAATTAGGATGAAGGTTTTACAGAGTCTCAAGACCATGACTTTTTTTTCCAATTTTAAGTTTAGACAGAAATCATACTTGAATTTGTAAACAGTCCCGTATGTCCAGAAAAAAGTTTAAGTTTTAGTTCATTTTCAACATTAAGTTTTCTTTCATTTTAAGTAAAGTAGTTCATTTCTTACATGTTTAGCAAAGTGGGCATTTTTTTCATTTTCAGCATAATTAGCACATTTTCTTTCATTTTCAAGCAAGTTAGGACTTTATTTTTCATATTTAGCAAGGATGTGAATTTTATTACATTTTCAACAAAAAGGTGCTTTTTTTTTCTTCAATAAAATAGTACCTTTTCTTTCAATTTGAAAAAACAGTACCTCTTTTTCACTGTTAGTATAAAGTGGTGAATTTTTTTCCACTTTTAGCAAAATAGCACAGTTTTCTTTATTTTTTTTATTTTCAGCAAGATAACGCGTTTTTTTTTAAAAATTTTTTAGCGAAACAGTGCATTATTTTCATTTTGATTGTTAGTATAGATTAGCGAATTTTTTCCATTTTTAGCAAAATAAAGCACTTTATTTTCGGCAAGTTAGTTCATTTTCACCAAAATTTTTTTTTACATTTTGGTAAAATAATGCTTTTGCTTTCATTTTAAGCCAATATAGTGAACTTTCTTACATTTTTAGAAAGATAGTGTTTCTTTTAATTCTTATGTGTGCTTCAATTTTCAGTAAGGCTGTGTTTTCAAATACAATTTCAACAAAGATTTATTTATTTTTATTTTTAGAATAACGCATTTACTTTCATGTTCAAGCAAGATTGAGCATTTTCTTTTATTTCATGAAAATGGTGCTTTCTAATTTTCGGTAAAATAGTACATTTTCTTTCATTTCAAGAAAGAGTGTGCATTTTCTTTTATTGTTACTAAGATAGAGCATTTTCTTTTATTGTTACTAAGAAAGTGCTATTTCTTTAATTTTTAGTTAAATATTGCATTTTTCGATATATCGGTAAAGTAGTGCATCTATTTTCATTTTAAGCAATATCGTGATTTTTCTTACATTTTTAGCTAAGTGACTTTTTTTTTCATAATGATTTTTTTTTAATTTTCAGTAAAATAGTGAGTTTTCTTTTATTTTCAACAAGTATAGTACACTTTCTTTCATTTTTATCAAAATCATTTTCTTTTATTTTCAGCAAAATAGTGCCTTGTCCTTCAGTTTCAGCAAGTATAGTGCACTTTCTTTCATTTTTATCAAAATCATTTTCTTTTATTTTCTGCAATATATGGTACTTTTTTCACTTTCCTCAAGGTCGACATTTTCCTTCTTTTTCAGCAAGATAATGAAATATATAAGATTAAAATTATCCAACTAGTACAACTTCTTTTATTTTCAGCAAAATTGTTATTTTTTCTTTCATTTTCGACAAGACAGTTCTTTCAATCAAGATAGAGCATTTTTTTTTCACTTTAAACATAGCGTTTATTTATATATATGGCTGTTTTTTTTTTCTGCGGCTTTTTTGTTTTCCTGAAAAGCTTTGGAAAAATCTAAACAACTACTGTTTATTATGTTAATGAAGAACGATGCATGGCATAAATATTAAAATTCAACTTAAAACAATCATTATAGATCAAACAGTTTTATGAAGGGAGATTAATGGGTATCTTCTTTCAGTTTTATTTTGATAATCGAATGAATAGCTAAACCTCAATCAGGATAGATTTTCTATAAAACTTCTTCCTTCGAGCTTTACGCATCGAGAAGTTCATCTGTATTGATCCAACTTAACGATCGTTCCTCTTTATCCTTTCAAAACAAGTCCATTAAAACTTTTATCTAAGTGTAATTTGATGAAACTGTTAATGCTTTAATTAAATGATATGTCATACGATCGGTCTCATCTTAACAACCAATTAAAGTTTCTTTCGTTTATTTACTATACAGGGTGATTTTTTTTTTTGAAGTTGTGAAATTGAAGCCCTGTAACAAAAGAATCACTGTTCTAAAAAAACTGTAATTTCAACAGTTTGCTCCCAAAGCAAAGGGAGTTTTTTAGGTGCGGTTAAAAAAAACCGAGATGGTGCTGTGAAATTTTATAGAAACTAAAAATATCGGCAATAGGAAGAAAGCAACGGATTGTGATTTGAGAAAAGGCAAACTTTATTGCTCATATCAAAAATATACCAACAGCAAAAATTCTCGTTTTTATAGCAGCTGTACGCTTATAATGCTCTAGATCAGTGTTTCCCAAAGTGTGGTACGATAAGATTAAAATAAAAAAGATTTAGCGCAATCTTAGAAAGAATACTAATTCTGGAGAAATTTAAAATGAAACTATGATGTTTCAGAAAGTGACTGTAATGTGTTGAGGATATGAGTTAGAGCCGAGGATATGTGAGAGGATATGAGTTGAGGATATGAGTTAAAGTAAATGAGGTGCTTTTAAAGTAAATGACTTTAAATTAAATGACAGCTGGCTATCATGAAAGTAAATATCAACAATTTAGACATCTGGCGTAAATGAAAGCTGGCTTTAAAGTAAATGACATCACTATAAATGCTAACAATTTAAATATTTATGTAATAAATGCCCTTAACAAAAGTAAAAAATAAAGAAATATGAGTAGAAAACTATTCTTAATATCAAAGTTAGTCTACACCTCAAAAATGTAAGCTATAGTACAAATACCTTACACTTAATTTAATGTTAAAAGAAGATCAACTGCAAGAACTGCTAGAATTCCAAATAACACCAAAACATATGTTTTGACAACATGTGTTTCGGTTGTATCTTTTCTTCCAAAACATATGTTGTGTTGTATCTTTGAATGACCAATTTTTACTGAAAATGTTTTAAAGCTTTGTGTTCTACCCCTTCAGGTGATCCTTTATAGCTCCGAGGAACCAGAGCTGGTGGCTGCAGTTAACCACTCCTTTAATGGCAATCTTGCGTGCAACCTTCATCCATGGACACGACAACAACAACAATGTTAAAAAAATGTAAATGTACATGCAGAACTCTAACAAATAAAGGCCATTTTTTAAGCATAATTCAGTATTTGTTATAAAAACCAACAGGACAGTACTTCATTGAGCCGAACATACAGAAAAAGACCGGATTTTTTGCAACCCATATATACAAGAAATCAGACAGACATGAAAAATTTCAGTTAAACCTGATGTTTTTATTTAAAATTGTAACCCGAAAAGTTATATTATATGAATTGTGTATGTGACTATAATCTTAAACTTTATATAATACTAGCCCCCTTTGGCTTCCAGATAGACCATATATCAAAATAATTTGTGCAACATATAAACATAAACGATTGCCAAGCTGAATGCACAGTTCATCTATAATTGATTCCTCAATCCCTCCTCCTAACACCTTTATTAGTTTTAAACAATATATTAACCGGAATTTTTTACCCTCAAGCTGTTACCATCGGTTTTGATTTGATTTTAATTTTAACAATTTTCAAAAGACGCCTGCAATATTGTAAATGGAGTTCTATACTATATGTATTGGACTTAAGTAATAATTTAAAATATGTCCGATAGCCATTTAAGCACACCATCACCAGAAATGCCTTTACCATGTATGTATATCTATATCCTCATTTTAAAGCGATACCATTTGTTACACATGAATATATTTAAGAAGTTCCTTTCTATTATTGCTTCCGTCTTTAATAACAACCTCTACCAAAAACAAAACTAAGAAAATTTTATCAAAATGTCTTATTTGTAATAGTAAAAGTCAAAAGAAAAATAATCTTACTAAAAAAAACCTTTATTAAACTTAA